AGTGAGAGGGTGGGGCTGAGGGGAGACTTGGGGGGCAGAGGATGGGGCTGAGGGGAGGCCCCCCGGGGGGCAGAGTCCAGGTCCTCACGGTAGCACACCCCACTGCCTTGCCAGCCATAAACTCTCCAAGGCCTCTTGGAAAAACTGCTTCCATGAGTAGGTTTATTTTCTCACCACTGTTCTTTGCCTTAATTTGCTGTCATTATGCATCTGTCGCTGTAATTCTGTTCTGTAGGTCACTTGGCTGTTTTTGTCTTAAAATCCAAGGAGGGTCTTTCCCCCGCACCTTAGGTTATTTTCCAGGTTTCTTCCAATGTTCACCTTGCATCAAGTGCTGAAAGTGTATTAAAACATATGCTTAGGAGGTGGAAAAACTGGCCCTAGACTTTAGGGATATAGTAATGGTACAGAAGAGAATTGCAGTATACATACATTTCTTTTTCCATATCCCTGTAACCTGGAAAGCCTTTTCCTTTCTCTTTTTTTCCTCCCCTCAGTTCAAATATGGAATAGATTAAAATAATCTTTTTAGATCAGACTTTTCCCTTATGCATAAATAAAACTACAATGTTCTGTAACATACCATAAGTCTCATAATAGAGGTTGGGGAATAAGGACTCACTCTACCAAGTACTTGATGTAAAAGTTCTGTGATATTTTTGTTTTCTCTGTCTGCAGATAAAGATCTTCAGTATCACATTGTTAAGCAAGCTAGAGCTCAAAGTGCAAAAGAAGGTACAGGCTACAGTGAAGGTAAGTAGCCAGCAGATACTGAGACAACTTTATCAGCTCTTATGTGAGAGCTGCTCTTGTCTCCCCCCTTGCAGCTTCCTTCATTTTACTTGCAAACTGCTGTGAGGATTTTTTTTATTTATTTATTTTTAATATTCCTTCCCTTGTGTATTTTGGAGCATAACTACTTTCTCTAATTGGGGCAACTAGATAAGAGAATTTGAATCTGTTGTGCTCACACCTCTAGTTCTCTTCAGGACCAGAAAATCGACACTGCAAAATTCAGGAGTTTCTTAAAGCACTAGTCCTTCACTTCCCATCCCACTACCTACACTTTGCCTTTTGCCTGTGTTTTCTGATGTTGTCCTTCTGCTCTTTGTGGCCCAAACTCTTCTAATGCTGCCTCCAGCCTCATTCTTTGTGTAATGGTTCTTCATGTAATGTTTTGTTTAATTGCTAGCTGTGAGCTGTGTCTGCTTGTCCGCCACTCCTTAGATCAAAAACCAAATGACATGTGTATTGTTATGTTGGATTGTTTCGATTGTCCTAAGAAGTTGTAGAAGAAATATGCTGACACATCTGCAAGTATGATGTTGTCCTTTGCCACTGCTCTCAGCTCATTAGTTCATTTATGTTTCCTTCTTCAGTGGGTTTTGTGGCCATTCTGGGGACCAGGTTAAGACTGAGCTATGCTTCTCTTGGAGAGTTCAGACGAAGACAGAGTAGAAAAGTAGGGCTACCTATAGAAACCACTGTAGAGCTGCAGCATATGGTTTGCAAATTACTGCAACACCTGAAAGATACAGCACTTATTGTCTGTAGTCCTTTAGTTTGGTAGGCATATACGTGCAGAAGGAAAAGTGCATTCCTTCTACTTTCCTGACAGTCAAATACAGCAGCGCTTGCTCAGGCATAGTTTTTCATGTTGTCTTTGTTTCTTCAGCATAGCAAATAGAGCCTTAACAGACAGTTGCTTGGGAAGGAGCTTTCATGTGATGGGCACTGTGTTTGGAGCACGTTGGGTGCGTTTGCTCTGGAGAGAAGTAGTAACTCATTTGACACAAGCACATCCAAGTAGCAAAAAAACAGATAAAGCCTTTATCGAGTGCTGCATTGCAAACACGCATCAGAGAGCCACTAGGTGCCAGTGTTTGCTACACAGTTGTCACTGCTGGCATTCCTCTGAAGGTAACACTAAAACTGTATTGGGGTGGTTTTCATTGTGGCATCTTGGCCTATTGTAAGATTTACTGACTTAGAATTGTTTTTTTAATTTAAAGACTTTGGCAACAGAAACAAACAGCATTTTTCATTGTAAATTTCCTTTTGACTAACTGTATCAGAGGAAGTAATTTTCTTCCGTTTTAAAAAAAATTCTAACCATAGAATATTAGAATAGCTAGATAATAGGACAGGAAAGCTGGTCTTAATCACAAGTTGTGAAATTCTTGTAAAATCACAAGTGCTTAACTATTAGGGCACTTTTACGGGCTTTCCTGACCCTGTAAGAACGGTGCGTTCTAAAAATAAAATTCTAGTGTTCATGTTTAAATCTGTTAGTTCAGATTAGAAAAGTTCTGGTTTATGCTCCAAGTACAGTAATGAGGAAATATTACATTTTACGTTTGTTGTTGTAGAGTTATTGTGGCTCCTCTTCCTCTTCTTTGGTGTCTTTATTGAAAGCAGCATGTGAAAGATTGCCCAGCTTCCGTTACGTGCTGAATAATCTAGAGAAGCAGTAGCTTTGCTGTTGTGAAGGCTCCTGCATACACCCTGTCTGTGTATGTGTTGGCTGTTCTGTCTGCCTGGACACCTACGTAGAGAAAGTGACAGTGTGAGTGAAACTGATTTGCACAGTGCCCAGTTATCTAGTCTCCTAGAAGCTTTCATTCTTGTTGGCAGAACAACAGGTATTTTGCAGCTAGTACTTTATAGAAAATTTTAGGATTAAGACAAACCCACAGGTTAGAGCTGTGGCCTCCTCTCTCTTGCTTTAGCTTGTAAGCCAAGAGCTGAAATTGATGGGACAATACAGAGTGTCCTTTTGATCTAATCTAGTATGTCCCCTTCAAAGCATATGAAAACCTGTAACTAACAGCGTATGTGGTCAGGAGAGGTTTTACAACCTGCGTGTGGTTGGGGAGGGATTTGGGCCTGTCTTTTTTTCTTTGAGCAATTTTGATCCTTTCAAATTAAGAAGGATGAAACTTCTTATAGGTATGTAGGGGAAGGATGAAAACAGCATGGGTGTTTACTGCATTGTTTGTTTGTTGAGCTTTTCAGTGTTTTCCTGTATAATTATGCTATTTTACTAATAACAGCTGTCTGTTGAACCTCCAGGATCTTACTCATTACTGCCTGTAGAAGTTCCTCAAAATCACAAGCGTTTCACCTGTGACCTGACTCAAGCTGATCGCCTTGCTCTTTATGATTATGTTGTTGAGGAAACAAAGAAACAGAGGTCTAGATCCCAAACCATGGAAAACGACAGTGACCTCTTTGTGGATTTAGCAGCAAAAATCACCCAAGGTTTGAAGAACGGTCTACTGTTGAATTTATGGCTCAGAACCTTCACTTTGTGTAGTTAGATGAGTTTTGTTGAAAGCCAAACAGAATTGCTTGTGCTATTTTTTATTGTGAAAAGCATACTGTTCTTAAAATCCGCAGTGAAGTTCTGGCATCAGAAAACACTAGTTTGCTATCCTTTATGTTGTTTTCTTTCTGAGAAAGCCTTGGTGCTCTGCTCTTGGCACACATCCTGTGTGTATCTTAGTGGATGGATCTTTTGGTTTTGTTGCAACTGACTTCAGGTTGCTTAATGTTGCCAACTTACTGTGCAGCTTGGAACAGTATTTGCCGTAAGAGATGATGAGATTAAAGATCTCTTAAGACTAGAATCTGAATAAGAAAGGTTGGCAGTTGTCTGATGGAGCTCTTGAGCAATACATAAATGGGTGTATTGGACCGAGGCCTCTCATCCCTGTTGAGTCATGCCAGTTTGTAACTATACCGAGTGCAACATAAGCATCTGTGTTACCCTGTGGGCCCTGCTATGCCTGGGAGGTAGGAGATAGTGTTTGTCATCTACACAGGTAAATGTTTTACATAATCTGGCCTTCTCAGTCTTTGTGTCTTACTGTAATACTGGCTTTGAAAACAAGGCCTGTGTTTTGTAGGTGTTTGACCAAATCACAAGCCCCATATATTGATTTGGGTCACTGTCAGGAGGCTGAGATCACATAACATTTGCTTGGTGGCTTTCTAGTCTTGTGTAAACAGCTAGCAAGAAGGTTGGAGAGGAAGCTTGTGCTAAATTCGTAATAGTCACTAAATACTGGAGAAACTTCAGAAAGAACACAGTATGTTTTATGTTTCAGACTTACTAGTAAAGGACTTGCATACCTGCAGGTGCTAATGTCCTGCTAATGACCATTTGTTTTATTTCCAATTTTTTTGCTAGATGATAGTCAGAAAGGTCCAAAGTCCCATCTTGAAATTCTGGCTGAAATGCGAGACTACAAAAGGCGGCGACAGTCGTACAGGGCTAAGAATGTTCATATAACAAAGAAGTCTTACACTGAGGTGAGTACCTGAAGAGAAAGCTATGATTGTGGGGTTTTTTGTTGTTTTTTGGGGTTTTTTTTCCCACAAAAGTGCTTATTTTATATCAGCATTAGCAATGGTATACCCTTTTAGACAAGGAAAATGTCTCTTCTTCCACTGCTTTGTTAGAGTTGCAAACTATAGAGGAATCTTTTTTTGGTTTTGGTTTGTTGCAGCAAGTTACAAATAATGGGAGCGTTTCTGACTATTAAAAATTTTGAATGTGAAAATACCAATAAGATACAGTTTACTGTCTGTTGTAAAACAATGCTATTAAATCTATGCTGAAATGCCTGTTTCTGCACATAAGACTTCCCATCAAAACATCTGATGTGTAGGTTTTTGGGGGAATTTTTTGCTGAGATGTATGCCTTCTGGATGCTAGTTCAGGCCACTACTGTAACATACTGCTTTTTTTGTTGTTTGTTTTTGATATGTCTTAATCTCCAGGTGATTCGGGATGTGATTGGTGTGCATATGGAAGAACTCAGCAATCACTGGCAGGAGGAGAATAGGTTGGATAATGCAGAGATATGTGAAGGAGGGAAGTCAAAATCTTCAGGAAGGTATGCCACAGTTGGCAAATTCCTCAGGGATATCAGCAGCCTGACAGCCTGCAATGTTATCCTATTACCTCTTTCTAATAGCACACCAACCTTAGCTGAGACACATACACAGTTTATTTTATACTAACTCTGTTAAGCTCTTGCTTGAGAAGCTCTGTCTGCATGAAGGATGGGGAAATGAATTGCTAACTAACTTTCAGGGGTAAGGAGGTAAGTTGCAAGTGATTCAGGTGAACAGGTAGTTTCTAGTGGAGCTGGGGAATGAATATTGCCCCCTCTGTGTCCAGATGCATATATATGTGATAGCTGGGGACAGAACGACGCTTGAAAATACAAGTACGCAATTTCTTCCCCTTCCCTACCATGTGACAGGAAATGCTATGGTAAATACATTATAATATAAAATACCGCAGTGAAAAGGTTTTCATAACTTACTAAACATGGGGACCCTTTACAGTTCTTACCACTGTGAATGCTGCTGTGCTAACTGGGAGTGTGTTTTATGTACACATATTTTTTCCTGTGTCAAGCAACACTGCACACTCTTCCAAACATTTGTTGCTGAAATAAAAATGGAATCATGACCTAGTGATAGTCTATTTGTGCTTCTTCAGGAGATTTTTGAACTGGAAATGTTGTTGAAACAAACTAAAAGGTGATACCTTGAGGTATTTGTTTTCAGCATTAAAATGAAGGTGAATGAAAAGGCCACAGAGGAGATCAGGCTTACTGGGTGCTCCAGCTGTAGGTAGCAGCTTAAGGCAGGTGGTTGGAGAGTTAGGGATTTAAAGCAAAACAGAGCAAACCCCTTCTATTGGCTGCTGTTTTGTGAGCAGAGGTGATAAGACTGAGGGGCAGCATTTCTAAGAACTGGCTTAAATAGTGTGCCGAGATGTGCACATATAAGAGCATAGACTTTGGGCCCCTTTTGGGAGGTATTGTATTTCTTAGGGAGATAGAGAGGCTTAATAAAAGAGACATCCTCTGTCTTACACCATTAGTAGGTCATTGTATTACAAACCCGGTACTGAAAACAATAGTGACTGTGAAACTACCTTTATTGAATAAAATCAATAACCTTTTTTTTCAGAAAGGAAGACAGGCGGTCGGCTTCAGTGGACTCACGGCAGTCTGGAGGAAGCTATAAAGATACTGAACGTACCAGACATAGGAGAGAGACCAGCAGGAGTCCAAATAAACGAAAAAGGAGTCGCGAAAGAGGCAAAGACAGAGATTCTCGAAGAAAAAGAGAGAGGTGAGCATAAAGAGTGTCAGCTGACTCCTGCTTCTGAATCAGGCAGCCATAGCCATTGGCTATGAGATTTAGTGCAGAGAATTAGAATATCTAGTCCAGTTAAAAAGCTAGGCTAATCTCATATACCATATAACAAGCCAGTGGCATGAGGCTACTAATACTAAACAGAACTTTCTGTGAGATCATAAACTGTGATCCAGACTTCAGCATTTACTCTCACATCTGAAAGGTGACACTTTCAACAGCATGCTACAGGATTAGCACAGTACTGTTGCAGGCTATTTTACTTCTTGATCAACATATGCATGGGGAGACATTATTGTCCATTTAACCAATTAAGGTTGTCATGTCTCATGCTGATTTCTGCTCTAGTTTGCACTGGGACTTAATAAATAGGATTATTTGTTTCACAAACATCACAGAATCATTTAGGTTGAAAAAGACCTTTAAGATCATTGAGTCCAACCGTTAACCTAGCACTGCCAAGTCCACCACTAAACCATGTCCCTAAGCGCCACATCCACACGTCTTTTAAATACCTCCAGGGACGGTGACTCAACCGCTTGCCTGGGAAGCCTGTTCCAGTGCTTGACGACCCTTTCTGTGAAGAAATTTTTCCTAATATCCTTGAGGCCATTTCCTTTTGTCCTATCACTAACTACTTGGGAGAAGAGCCCAACACCCACCTCACTGCAACCTCCTTTCAGGTAGTTGTAGAGAGCGATAAGGTCTCCCCTCAGCCTCCTCTTCTCCAGACTAAACAACCCCAGTTCCCTCAGCCGCTCCTCATAAGGCCTGTGCTCCAGACCCTTCACCAGCTTCATTGCCCTTCTCTGGACACGCTCCAGCACCTCAATGTCTTTCTTGTAGTGAGGGGCCCAAAACTGGACACAGTATTTGAGGTGCAGCCTCACCAGTGCGGAGGGATGATTGCTTCCCTGCTCCTGCTGGCCACGCTATTTCTAATATAAACCAGGATGCTACTGGCCTTCTTGGCCACCTGGGCACACTGCTGGCTCATACTCAGCCGTATGTATGTGTATATACATACAATCACTTGACTGGCTTTTCCATGGTAGATGCTTCAAAACAATGCTGCTGTTCTTCAGTAGTTCTGGACCTATTTTTAGGCCAAAGAAAACAAATCTAGGCCACACCTTCTAATACCATCAACAAGGCACATTTGCATCTGCAGGACCATAGGTGTGCAGGACACATGTTTGAGCAAACACTTAGGGTGTTGTGCAGAAGAAATGCTTCACTGTCCCTAGCATGTAGGGAAGAAATGCTGTAGGTAACTGCATGGATGGGAATGCATACTTGTCTCAAAATTGGTGTCATTACACAGTGATGCCATTCATCCTAAACTAATTACCACTATGGCGCCTTATGACAAGACTTTGGTTAAAAGAGCATGGGAAATAAACTGTCTTAAAGTAGTTTACTTTCTTTCCTTAGAAGAGGGCATGATTACATTTAATGAGAGCTTTCTATTTTCCAAGTCTTTCTGTTTTTGTTTTTTTTTCTTTTTCCCCTCAGATTCTGTCAGTCTGAGCCTAACAGCATACACAATGTTTGTGGTTTTGTTTCAGGGATGAAGACAAATATCACAGCCATAAAAGGAGAAAGTAGAAACAAGAACCTGATTATTTTGTTTGTCAGCTGCTCAAAAAATTAGTTGCACGGGAACTATCGTTACTGCTGTTGTGCCAGGGACAGTAATGCTGTCTACATGATATTGGTGTTGCATCACAGCTGTGCTTGAGACAAAAATGAAGCAGTGTTCAGGTTTGTCAGGATGGAAGCAGTATATAGCAGAAAATGTGTAAATATGTAACACTAATGCATCTATTAATAAATTATATTGCTCTTTCTCATCTACTTGAGTTTAGTCAAATCTGTGAGAGGCTGTACTAATTTGCCTTCCTGGTCCATAGTCAGTGGATATAGAACAGAGCTCATCCCTGGAGTCTAGTATCAATTACAAGTGAAAAGGCATGAAGAGAGCTCCCCTCTTACCCTCCCACCTGACATTGTCACCTCTGGGAGCTGTGTTCCAGAAAGATGGCACTTACTGCCTGGTCACAGCATGTACCAGAGGTGAGAGGGCAGATTTCAGAGGTCTCCAACAGGCTAAAATATCTTCAACTGCAGCTAGTGGTAAAAGGACAACAATGGGAAAGTTACTGTTCCCAAGCTCATGCTCAAAGAAATTTAGGATCAGTGTCATCTGGCAAAGATGATGAGAATGTAGCTCTCCACAGAAACTAAGCGGGGAGGTACCAAGGACACTTGCAACATTACTGATGGCCGTTTTCAAACACTGGGTGCATACCCATTTCCTTCCAGAAATAACGAGGAGTTCCCATCCTGTAGACTAACGTATTAGTGGTAGAGGTTGACAAAACAGACTTAAGACAGGCAGGTGCATAGTAAGGGAGCACAGGAGGATTCCACTTAACTTCAGTGATGCTTTTATTATATCCATTTCTAGTCCTGTTAATTTCTCACACAATCTGCTACAGCATGGTCAGTCATCATCAGCCAAGCTTGTTACTTCAACAAAGTAAGCAACCATAGAAGAACAAGGTTGCAGATCCATCTTTCCTACAATACTTTCTTCTGCTTGAGTGAGTTGCCAGGAGAGGGCACTCCATATGCTCCTGGTTTTGGCTTTCTCTGGTACCGGAATCTCTCCAGTTTTACTGTAGCCACTAGTATCCTGACTCTTGTCTCAATTGTTTCTGCAATTAAGTATGATTATCTGTCACCAAATACTTAGTCTAGTTCTGACTGATTCAGACTTCTGTACCTACTACAGCTGTTCAACTCAAAACCAAACTGCACTGTGTGTCAGGCATTGCCTCACCTACATGACAAATGCAGCAGCTTTTCCTATCAGAAAACAAGACATATTTTAAAACAGATCCTTAATTAGAAAAGTCCATTAAGAATGGAAAAGGATATCTCAGTTCTGAAAAGGTCCTAATTAGAGGGAAAACAATATGGAGTTATTGCCGTCCTTTCTCAAGTTGATGTTTCTTCCAGCAGCTCAGCCACAGGGTTCTTCATGTTGAATAAGGCTTGGTAAAACTGTTTGTTTCATAGAGCTTAGCTTGTTCACATTCAGACAAGGTAGTCCAGAGACAAGCTGTATTTGTGTAAGAGTCAAAAAAAGTGCTATCCAGAAGTGTAACGAGAAACACACCAATTATATCTGTCCAGTCTTCTCTAAATTGAATTTTGTGTTTTCCTTCTTTTCTTACAATCACTTATGAAGTACAGGTAGGAAGATCCATAACAAAATACGTTTTACTCAATATAAACAGATGAGCATCAGTATCTGAAAGGCAGGAGAATGGTATAACCATGTATTCAATTAACATCCACTGAAGGGCCATTTCAAGAGTGGGACAAAGAAAAGGAAGTGCCACAGAAGAGGATCTTCTTGTATTGTAATGTGCAAATAACAGTCCTTTGAACACAAATTATTTTCTTGCACATATTTATTTCTTTTTTTTCTTTCTTTTCCCCTTCTCACCTGGCGCTGAAGAGTAGGCTTGATCAAAACAGTGTTGAGGGTTGGGTCAGAAAGTTTCTGAGCAGCACCATGCCAGTTTGTTGGTCACTGGAAAGGAATAAACCAAATGTCTTAGAACAACGCTTTAACATGGTGAATCCTAGTGTGTTGGACAAGATAGAATTGAGGGTTATATTCATTGCAAGCAAGAGCAGTGTGATTAAAAAGTGGTTCTTGCTAAAAACTGTCAATTTGGTAACTAATGAAAAAAAATCAGTTCATTTGTGTGCTCGTGCATTTTTGAGCTCCTGTGTACATGGAGCTGGTAGCAATCTAAGACAGAAAGACGAATTCCATATAGATGGTAGGAGGAGTCGGTATCTGTCTGCAAACATGCCACGTAGGCAGCACTTGGAGAACAGGCCTGTTACGGATCTTTTAAAACTGGTTAAAGTGCATTTTGTGTGATCTGTGTGTGACTATGGATAAAATGAGTGGGAGTTTATCACCGAGAGCTGGATTGAAGACACTGTCATTGCTAATTCCATGATCATTCTAGCAGATACATATGCAGTATCTTGATGGATCCTTTCCTCCATCTGCTAAAAAAGTTCTGAGGTTTTGACACTGAATTTTGTGGGCACAAGACTTCACCTAACAATCCAAGTCTATTAGAATGAGGTTTTCACCTGTAGCAATTAGCACAAGTTAGGCCTAGTTAGCAGTGGTTAGCACAAGCCTATGAATTTTAAGTTTTTGCTGTTGTAGAAGTTGGCAAAAATATGATCAACCATCTGTCTAAAGCAACAGAATAGTGCTGGTGTGCTCAAGAAAAAAGGTAGCCAAACTATGTGAATACGCTCTTGATCATCATGAAGTGCAGGTGTCCAGAAGTATTCAGAACAGACAAGCCGTGAGCACCAACGACGGTGACAGCACATCAGAAAATGGCAGCGCACTTTGAATGGACTGAGCGTCAACAGGGTTATTCTGTACCCAGTCCTGTAAGGAGGACACCTAATAATAGTGGGAGAAACCACCATTTGCTAACAAACTACTCGATGGAGTCGAGAGGGGAGAATGGGGTTGCCTCTTCATTATGAAGCAAGCTGAAGATTACAGCACAGGAAAGACCTGAACACAGCTGTCATTGATAGCAAAAGGGCTAGAGCCACACGGTGCGTTTTTGCTTAGCCTTCATGCTGTGAAGATGCTTCGCATCTCCTGCTGTGAAGAACCGTGTGAGTTCATGGCTTACTGACAAAACTAACACCAAACTATAAAGCCAACCCGAGAGCAAGCAGAAAGAGAAACACAACAGACTGGAAATGTACCCAACCACCCCAACTTGGCACAAATAGCAAAACAGGATGAACTGTTCAGGTGGGACTATGTCCCGCCTTTGTCCTTTATATCCACTGAAGGCAACAAACACTAAGACCATTCCAGGAAGGAAAATTTGCCATAGCTAATACTACAAAAATTGAAGATTCAAACCATTTAAGACCAAGCATACACTAAACACTTCCCCAACAAAACTTTTAAGGAGAAGTAATTCAGCAGAAACATGACAGAAACTTCAGACTTCAAGTGGGGACTCCCAGTTTCTCTCTCTGATTTATGGTCTATGTTAAATCAAAAGAGCAGCCCATAAGATGCTGCTGGTTCCAGTACCAGTAATATGCAGATGATACAACCTGTATATAATTGCTTCCTACATGGAAAACTATACCACCAGGTAGCGACTTCAATGTTTCAAAGAAAGTGGATAAGTAATAATTTATCATTTAACAGTTCAACCCCCAGTGTTGACCACTTAACAAAGAATAACTAGGTACACTTTCAATATAATCTTAGTCAACCTTTACTCCTGTCATTGTGGCTACGCCCCAAGAGAAGATAGACTATTCACCTGAAATTAAAGGTTTATGGAGAACCCAGAGGTGATCCGTACATCCAAATTCCATGCACGGATTTTTACTTACGCTTGTTCTTTAAGTGTGTGGAGGAATGCTTCGGTTTTGTCCTCTGGTATCTCTCCATCGATACTGGCCAAATAGGAGTAGAGGAATGAGAATGTTTCGAAGGGAATGCGAGCTGCTCCACCGTCTGGGTCCTTTGTTAAGATTTCGCAGGCATGTTTCATTGAACTCAGTAAGGACTGTAGGGGGTTCAGTCAAGAAACAAAAGGAACAGCATGAGAGCCATGAACATCTTTGCATACCATGACCAAAGCTGCTGAAAGCGAGTGTAAATGACACGAAGGCTTTATCATCATTACCCAGCTTTCAACCCCAAATTTACCCTCCACTGGAGGTCCAGGGATGGAAACAATAATGAAGTTCTAGTAGAAGCAGGAGTAAAAAACACCAGAATCCCGTAATGTTTTAAGTAGTAGTCTGAGCCTTATCTCCAATATGGCCAGATTGCTTTATTCTGCTACTGTAAAAGCTCAAACATCACTATCCCTAGCTATATATATGTGTGTGTGGTGTGTATGTATATATACATACGCATGTATACGTTATTTCTTATCTCACTGGATCTAAAGGAATTCTCAGCAGCAGTTAAGACAGACAAATCTACAAAACCCAGAAAATTCATATGGCTTTGATGATTTTTTTTTTATTATGACATAATATTAGTATGATATTGATTTTTAGGAATGCTGATATTTACTATTTTCCCTATTTGTATGCAAGTTCCATTTTACTAGTTAGTAGAAAAAGCACTGAGGCAAAAAGCATTTCAAGAATGTTTCCGTTTTAGTCAAAGCCAAATAACATCCGAGTTCCCTTTAGTACAAACATGCCTCAAAGTATTAATTCAAAATATACTTTAAAAAATCCTTTGTTCAGTACAATGTCTATTATCCAGTGCCCTATGCATGCTGAGCTATATGGGGAAACGTGTGGAAAAATTCAGCACTGAGCTTCATTGAGTCAAAGACTGGCTGGATGCCATTAAAACAAAGAAAACCCAAAGAAACCCCACACAGGTCTTTTTCAACCCAAGTAGTAGTATTTTTGCTGTAACGTTTTCAAAATTTATCCTTACCTCTTCATTAATAAGCAAGCAATGACTTTGTAAAAAATAAGTATTTCCTAACAGTAGAACAGCAATATCTAAAGTAAATGCAGTATCAGATCCAGATCTAGATCTAGGCCAGAGAACTGTCATTTTATAATCCCTTAACAGTTTTACCTAATGTACTTCCTCCCCTGGGAGGCCTCTGTGGGGAAGGAGAGGCAGCTGCCTACATGATGGCAGGCTCTCCCCTCCGCAGTCTGCTACCCCTCTACTGCCCCTCCTGCTCCCCCCACTCCAAGCTGCCGCTCGCTCTCTCTTACAGCG